CCCTGCCATGGCAGGGGTGGCACTGGGGGGGATTTGGGTCCCTTCCCTCCCAAACCACTCTGGGATTCCAGGATTCCTGTGATTTTAGAGGTCAGACATGAATGGGCTGAGCAGGAAAAACAAAGCAGAACCATTGGCTTCAGGAAAACCAGAATTCCCAACCATGGGATGAGCTGTGCTCAGGGGCACAGGGAGGGGAACAAAGCAGGCCCTGCTGAGAGGGGATTGATCCTCACCCCTGGATGGGCATCCCTGAACAGGACAAGGACAGGGGCTGGAATTCCTGCCCTGGATGAAGGAGGGGCTGGAATTCCTGCCCTGGAGTGCTGGCACTTCTGAGTCCCAGCCATTGGGAATTCATGGTCCCTTTTGAGTGCAGAGCAGCTCTGAATTTTCCTGGAGCCATCCAGATGTGGCCAGAGCTGATGTGTCCCCCTCTGTCACCCCCTGTCACCCCTGCCAGGTCTCTCCCCACCCCCCCAGCACTCTGGGGCTCCTTGTCCTGCCCCAGATCCTCTCCCAGGCTTTGCCCTCCCTTCCCAGGGGGGCTCTGGTTTGACTGGGAGCAGAGCAGGAACGGGGCTGTGACAGAATTTCCCACTCCAGGCACAGCTGGGAGCTCCATCAGAACAAGGGAAATCCTCTTGAGAAACCCCAGCAGTGACCTTGGCAGGAGCCCCCAGACAAGCCCAGGTGTGCCAGGGGCTGGCCAGGCTCAGCTCCCTGTCCCTGCATCACACCCTGCCCTGCTCTCATCCACTGCCCAGGGCACTGGGACGTGCTCAGCCCCAAACCAAACTGTAAACCAGCCCAAATCAAACTTTAAACCACCCCAAATCAAACTGTAAACCACCCCAAACCAAACTTTAAACCACCCCAAACCAAACTTTAAACCACTCCAAACCAAACTTTAAACCACCCCAAATCAAACTTTAAACCACCCCAGATCTCAGCTTCTGGACATTTTACCCACACAAAAACCATTAACCCCCTGCACCCCAGGCAGAGCTGGGTGGAATTGGCTTTTGGCAAAGTCATGGAAGGGTTTTTGGGCTGTGACAGCAAATCAGGGATCCCAGAGCCCCTGTGCCCCCAGCAGAGCAGAGTCCTTACTTTGAGCAGCTTCATCAGCCCCTCCAGCTGCACCATCAGCTCCCTCCTGCTCTCCTGCAGGGCTGACATCCTCTGCTCCAGCTCATCCTTCCTCTGCCTGGGACAGGGACAGAGGCAGAAAATCAGCTCGGGGTGTTTCAAACCCCACTGGGATGTTTCAAACCCCCCTGGGATGTTTCAAACCTCTCTGGGATGTTTCAAACCCCACTGGG